GATGAGGGGACTGGAGCATCTCTCCTATGAGGAAAGGCTGAGGGAGCTGGGCCTGTTCAGCCTGGAGAAGAGAAGACTGAGGGGGGATCTGATCGGTGTATACAAGTATCTGAAGGGAGGGTGTCAAGAGGCTGGGGCCAGACTCTTCTCTGTGGTGCCCAGGGACAGGACAAGAGGCAATGGGCACAAACTGAAACACAGGAAGGTCCCTCTGAACATGAGGAAAAACTAAAGAAATTTTTCTTCTCTTTCTGTGAGGGTGACTGGGCACTGGCACAGGTTGCCCAGAGAGGTAGTGGAGTCTCCTTCCCTGGAGATATTCAAAACCCGTCTGGACGCGATCCTGGGCAATGTGCTCTAGAGGACCCTGCTTGAGCAGGGGGGTTGGACTAGATGATCTCCAGAGGTCCCTTCCAGCCTCAACCATTCTGTGATTCTGTGATTCTGTGAAATGCTAATGACGTACCTCATCTCTAAGGCCTAAAATTGCACTAATGTTGGAAATGTGTTGGATAAAAAGATACTTGTCTGAATCCAATTCGGAAAAAAAAACACCACAACTTCATGTGTTCTCACAGTTTCTCCAAGAACATAATGTAGAGGTGACAGCAAATGAGAAAAAGGACTGATCTTTCTTAATGGCTAATGTTAGAGGGGCCTGACAATGTCCAACAGCAAGTATCCATCACAAATCTGTGGGATGCAGGAAATAATTGATGACTTTTTTAATTTTAATAGGCAGTTTGTAGATGGAGCCATTCATTTCAAAGTGCCAATACAACTTTTCAGCACTCTCCTACCAAATATGCTCGAGCATAGTACTTCAATACAAAATGAAAGAAAAGGATATGGAAATTAGTAACTTCAGGAATCATTACCATATTCAGAAAGCTTAAAGAAAATAATTATAGAGGATTACTAGTCTGTCTGATTATTATTACTAGTGGACAAAGGCATAAAAAAGGAGGGGAATGAAAAATAAGTGCCAATGGTATGAAGGAATGCATTTTCATTCAATTTCAGTTTCCTTCTGTGACACTCAGCCTGTCATTATTTTCTTTGCACTGCCCAGCCTTCTAATAATTGGTGAGCCACAGAAGACTATCAAAACTGACTAATCTCAGTTTTAAAGATGATGATCTTCAGCAGCTTTACAGCCTGTTCGTCTACTGATAGAGATCATCATCTTTCAGTTCATTTGCACTCCATTTTCCCAGTCTCTCTCAGAAAAATAATTTGGAGCCTGTGTCTGTCAGCGAACCTACTGTAATGACTTGACTACTCTTTGCTGTCACTGCAATCTCAGTGCAGGCTCTGCATGTTGACTGGACTGCGTAGTTGCGCTGTCATACTATACCTGTTGGCCAATAGCTGTGACCTAGTTCCCGAAGGAGAGGTTAGGTAAATTGCCAAGTCTCCACGTCGAGGGTGAGTAATAGTGATGCGCACAACCACATGCTCCAAGTAGATCACGTGGTGGTTGGGGTTATCTGAGCAGCCAGTGGCTTTGTAAATTGAACGGACAACGCTGTCAGGTCGTATTGTTCTATAATACAAGCATATAAAAACAACATCAACATTTTTTGCTTGTTCTGTAAAATAAGACAACCAAATCACTTTTGCTTAATAGCGAATGTCAGTGTTGGACAACTACTTCTGAGAAGTCAGTAGCCTATAATCCTTAGTTTTAGCATTTATTTCCTAGCTGAAACTATCACCATAGGGTAATTACTTTACTGCAGTCACTGTCAATTATCTGGCTTTCTATTAAGGGCTATACTAACATGTACACATGCTAAAAGAGGACAGTGAAAAACCTGTAATAGCAATAAGCCTTTGGGGCAGAGCATTTTTTGTGGATTAGTGACCAGCTGAGAATTACTGGGATTGTCATGGGATCACAGCTGGTCATTAAGTTCCAGGAAATGCCTGGCATAGCCATAGACCTTGCTTAGGTAATAGCAAGTATAACATATTAACTGTTGCAAATAGTGGGCAAACAATATCTGACTCAGCTGGTTTAAACTGGCATAGCTTCCTTGCAGACTATACTAGTTCTGCACGTAGCCTCTCAAGTATATCTATCAAATAAAAATGTACCTCAGTGATTTTAATGCTTTGGAAATGTGCCTTATGACTGATGCTCCCCCTGTATGCACAGAATGCACATGCAGAATTTTACTCTGATGCCTGGTTCTATGGAGACCCTACCTGAGCAAGCAGAAAGTCATTTAGCCTCTGAGCTAGACACCTTCCTGAGACCATCAGCAGAGAGATAATATAAAGTAAGATTTTAATGAAAAGACACTGGACTGGAGTTTGTACTTATATTACGAGGTGACTGCAGTGCACTCAACTAGACATTCTTGTTCTTCTGGGCATCACTTCTACCAGTATCAATCAATATCCAGTCTGACTTGTTTTACATGTGCAAGTTTTGGGGTATTCTTTAAATTAGGATCTTTTTCCGAGAATTACGGGAAACAATCTTTACAGGCAAATGACCTGACATCTCTGAAAGTGAGAGATCCCTAGTGTAGCTTTCAAAATTAAACACAATGCAGGGGAGGGGTAAATTATACCCAATTTCTTTCTATAAGTTTATGCCAGCAAGAGTTTTGGCAGCAGGTATTACTTGATTTGCCGATCCGTGTTCTCCACACACACATGCTGTGGAGGGACTGTTGTCCACTTTTCTGCTTCTATCACCATTGCTTCAGCATCCATCAGTCCAAATCCATAGAGGTGGCTCACTGCAAGGTACAAACAGAATGGTTGCAATTATAGCATAAAACCTTGCCTTTCATCATAGAATAATGCCAGAGTCTCATCCTAATGACAACTGCTTCTTTTCTATTTACTTACTTTGGCTCAAAGCTCAAAAATCTCCTTGCCAGAAACAGTAAAGACTGGATCTAGTTTGTTCACTGAACATTTTCACTGCTTTATTACAGAAGTAGTCGATGAGCATGAAAAACAGCATGAAAAACACTGCCTTGCCATGAAGATGGTGGACCAGAACTGCAGGGCACACAGTTGCCTTTGATTGCCCTTTACCCACTTGCCGTAATTCAGCCTAGTCCTCTTATATGACACAATGTTAGAAGGTATGAAGCACCAGAGAAGGGTTATGTGTTATTCAGATAACAAACACACATACACACACGTAAATATTGAAGGCAACTGAGTCACTGGACTTATGAAGGAGCAGACTGTGCCATTTATAACTGCTGTACTGTCCTTACTTCCTTGAGTGTAAAGAGCATGTGGATGCCCTCCTACTCTTATATTCAGTATGTTCCCCACTATCCAGGCAGCCAGCTAGATCCTGCATCTCCCTAAACTTGTCTGCATGAGGAGGGAGAAAAGCTATGGTTTTTGAAATCCAAGGCTTTAAGGGTAACCTGGTTTTCATGCAGAGCATGTGTCAGAAAGGGTGCTTTCTCTATTTCCTTTGCACATCTGCAGGTGAGGGATGCTGAAGGTGGTGCTGGAGAGAGGCCTACAGTGTCTGGGCAGTGGGAAGCTGTTCAAGCTGCGCAGCTGGTGACCTCCGGTATTACCTCCTGCTGGCATTGCACAGGCAGTGCTACTGAGCATCCACTCTTGGAGGTTAGCAGCCCTTTAATGCTCATTCCTGGATGTTAGAACTACGGATACCTTATCCCTACTTGTTTGCCATGCTATGGAGAGCCAACAACTGTCCCCTTACTCAATGTCTTGTAATTTAACTTTATGTCTAAATGTCTTCTGCTCAAAGAAGTAGAAGGTTTTAAAGCATCATCTTTCCTAGGATACATGTGAAAGACGGATTGAACATCTAAATATATAATATCTGGACAATGTTAGATATCTCTAACAGATTTGCTGAAATCTTATCTAACTTTCTGATAATTTCAAGAGTACATAACTTGGTGGAACTGTCTCAAGTGTTTCAGCAGTTCACAAAGGGTAAAAAGATAACTGCTTTGAATTTCTGTTTAAAGATCAAGTTCAGTAAAAAATGTCTAGTTTGTAAAGGGATTAGTAATAAGCAGCCTTAAAAACAGACTCAAAGTTTCACTTACTGATCTGCAAATAGTTTCACTTACTGATCTGCAAATAAGCTATGTGTTTTTGGTGGCTGTTCCAATCAAAACAGAAACTTGCAAATTAATTTTGATGAATTAGAAAGAGCTGCTAACCATGTGGTTTTACTGTGACAAATCTGTGCCCTTGCTAAAATCCTGAGGGGAGGAGGTGAAAGGAAAAAGCTTCTGGAGGGAGGAGTTTAGATCACAAATAACACTGTATCAATAAATCAGTTTGACTTGCTACCACAGAGGGTGCTACCAGAAAACCATCAGAAAAACATAAATGCTACTTTAATCGGTAATGTGACAAGATATGGTGTAAGTCTTTCCAATTGCACTTTGCAGTGGGTTTGTGAAAGCAGCCTCCATTCATTGCCAAACCAGAATTCAGAGGATTCCATCCAAAAAAAACCCCAACCTTGTCAAACAAATAACAGTTCAAAGCATAAAAATAATCAGTACTTAAGGATCCCATCTTCCAAATATGGCAATATCTAATGCTGTCTGAAACTGTCAACTGAAGAGGATTCTTCAATGGAAAATCCTGCAAGGCATAACAACTGTGTAATGAACTGGTTTTCTTCCCATCTCCTTCCTCTTCAGCCCCAAACTCAAGTGCACATAGCATGGAAATGTTCATTTGGAGAAAACTAAACACAGCTCTCCTGCCAAATGAGACGGGTACTGATATTTAAAATTTTGGTTAATAATCATTGTGTTCGCTCTAAAGAACAGTGGGAGGAATGACAGCGTTAACTCCCATGGTCAGTAACAGTCACTTATTTTGTATAGCACTATTTTTTAACAGTGAAGGATTAAATTTGCATCCAGCTGTAAGATGCTGTGTGTTCAACCCATCTGCTGAGCTGAAAGTAGAGCCAAATTTCTCCTCAGTTCACCTTTGCTCACCCAGAAATAAGGGCAGAAGCGCTCCTACCAATGCCACCAAGGCAGGCAGTAAGGTTCTCAGTGACACTTAAATGGCTTTTAAGCCACTTGACACTAGCAAATTTCTGCTGATAGGCACATTAAAAAATACAAAGAATAATGTCTACAGAGTGAACTTTCTACCGTTCCTACCTCCCAAACTACTTTGAAAAGAGAGGTATGTTCATTTTTCATGTAGGAGAAAAGTTTAACATCCCAGGTTATGGGGATCGTGTTAATTGCCCGTGACAATTATGACATTTAATGCTTTAAACTCTCCTGCATGGAGAGCAGAGGTGGGAGTAAAAAGTTCTGCACCTGTTGTTGTTTTTTTTTAAACAGTTGAAACACAAGTACTTTTTTCCTTGAAAGACATTCCTATTCAAATCAAAACATCCTACCAGTCAGGGGGCTCCTAAAGCTTTCCATGTGGAAAGCTTCCAGACAGTTGACATTTGGCTGTCTGCAGCGTTCGCACTTCAAAGCCCTTGATCCAGTGGGCTGGTTAGCAGCTGCAGGTACTGAGACAGGCCCATCATTTTCAAAGACTAAATAATAGCAATTTGAGAAACCATCACCGAGTTAACAAAAGTCGTTGCTCCCCTGTGTCTCAGAGAAGAAAACAGATTTTTGTCTCCTACTGCCTTCAAATTGTGCCCCTTCATCTGCTGGTGCTGCTGTGGGCTCTGTGCTGGGCTGCCTCTCCCAGAGGGAAAAAAAAGACCTCGACAGCGCACATAAGGGCCACAAATATTTTCTGGTGAATATCTGGAACTGCCATTCATCTGTATGCGACTGGTACTGAGCTCATTTCTGCTAACACAAATAGGAAAGCAATATTTGAAAGATACTGATGATTTGCTGGATGAGATAAGGCGACTGCAAGTGCGAAATGCCCCAGGACCCTGCTTGCTCATACCCACCTCTGTGCTCTGCATTATCACTGCTCTGAATTAGCGCTGTGCTCTGTTGCTAGAAATCCCTGAGCATGTTCGAGGGGGTGTAGGGCACCCATTCAGAGATGGGAGAGGAACATGAGGTTGGCACAACATAAGCTGGGAGCTAAGGGACAGCCTGTTGCTCTCACTGAGCTGAAGGGCCGCAAACTGTGATCTCCCAGGGCTCACGGCATCCATGGGCAGAACTGCCCTTGAATCCTTCCGCTCATGCAGCAATGTGAACTGACCCACTCCTATTTCTGCAAAATCACAGGCAGACACAGAGCTTTACAGACACAGGATATGTTCCAGAGAAAAACTTGCCTCCTGGAACACAAGGTAAATATTGAGTTTTAGCTGATCCCTTTACTCTTATCATTAAAGAAAATAACATTTCTAGAGGCCAAAGTCCATTTATTTATCCCTAGAGCAGTTCTTCTATTAGCCCAGCATGAAATCAAGGCCTGTTCAGCTGCTGCATAGACTTCCCCAGCTTTTTCTTAACCCTTTGTTTTTGTCTGAAACTCCTATTGAAAATTCAATAACTTTCTTATTTATATACAAAGAGGATGTAAAGCTACCCCCAAATCTAAAGCTGGAATATGTATATCCCACTTGACTTGACTAAGAGAAATATGAACTGCTGGTATTGATAAATCATAACACAAAATCATGCAGACTCCAGGAAAACTGGGCCCAAACACTGAAAACACAGCATTTCCAGTGCCTCAGTGCAGCTAAATTCAATTTGTTATGCTGCAGTTTTCATTTCCTGTCATCAGGATGTTCATTAGTAGCTAGATGCTAAGCCTCCCTTGCTATTCTGCTCATCTGACAAAAAACACTGCAGACTACTCCCTTCCCTCAATATTTTTGGGAGTTTAATTTTCTGTACCATAAAAGTCGCATTGGAAAGACAAGTATTGCCTGGTATCTGTGATAATTTTGTATGCATATAACAAATACTAAAGCAGTAGGAGAGACAAACTGTAATAATTTCAGTATTTCAAACCAGGACTATACAACTGTGCTAAACTAGATTCAGCTATTTGCTATGTAAATTGCTGTGACTGTCCATTTATGTTACCTTAGGATCTTGCTCCAGTCTCATCCAAAATGAGAGCTACAAAATAAGAGTCTGAAATGCCCCTTATATTTTGTTTCTCTTAGATGCTACTTAGCAAGCCTGGAAGACATGTGACTACCAGATTTTCTTTGGATTTTTAGATTGGTCTTCTGTTATTCTATTCTGTAACTCAGTTTTGTTTGTGTATGTGTGTGTGCATATGTGGAGAGAAAGAAAGATATTTCTCCGGGAAGTTTTTAATGGTTACGTAGTCATCTGCACCTAAGGACTTAAAATACATCGCTCTGTTAAGTATTTGAGTCTGATCTTGTTTCCACAGCTGTATTAGTGCTGCACACATTTATCAAGGAGAGGTGATCATGTGTAAGTGTATCTAGCACTATGGTCAGAGTAAACAGGACCTTTTTTTACACCTGATTAGAGAATGAATACAGTAGTCTTTATTGCTCAGTTTGATTATGTTTCAGATCCTGATTTTTGTATGCTGATGCCAGATAATGTGCTGGCAACTGTGTACTTGCCAACAGAGACTGCAAAATATCTGTACTTTAACAGCAGTGAAAAGCTTTTCCTTTCAACTCTTTCTGTTTGCTTCCTCATCCTTCTCAAAAGGAATTTCAGTATTTCTTCCTATAGTCATATGACCACAGTCAATACTTGCTTCAGTTTTATTTGGATTTCAAATATCTTAAAAAGAAAAAATCTTAAGACTCTGCAGTTACTCTCAT